ATAATTAAAATTTTGTTATTTATAAAATGTATTGTTATATAAAAGAATCTTTAAATCTTGTAATCATGACTTGAATCTCAGCAAAAATTAAGGGAATATAAAGAAAGTGATCAAAAAGAATGTACATATATTAATGGATAAGAAAGTAGAACAACCAACGATTGTTATTGATGTTGGAGAATCAAATAGTCATGAAAAAGCGTTTGACGTTATCAGTCCATGTCTCCAAATCAATCCAATTAATCTCACATTTAAGCACATTAGTTATTCAATCAATACTTTTGAAATAAATAAAGATTTCTTTCATCATCTTTCTTTTCCAATAAAATTAACAAAGAAAGTAATTTTAGATGATGTTAGTGGATATATAGAAGCAGGAGAGTTAGTTGCTTTAATGGGAGGAAGTGGTGCAGGGAAATCAACATTATTGGATATTCTTTCTGGCATTAATAAACGAGGAAATATAAGTGGAGAAGTATTAATTAATAATGAAGATGTAAAAAAATATAAAACATCAATTGGATATGTATCACAAACTGATTATCTAAAAGGTACACAAACAGTAGAAGAAGCGTTAGATTTCTATATTAAATTAAAAGCACCACTTTCAAGTAGACAGAATGAAAGAAAGATGATTGTTAAAGAAGTATTAGAAGTATTAGATCTTACTAAAATCAAAGATTCTTTAATTGGAACCGAGAAAAGAAGAGGAATTAGTGGTGGAGAAAAAAAAAGAGTATCTATTGGTTGTGAATTAGTAACTGAACCTGGTATAATGTTTCTTGATGAACCAACTACTGGATTAGATTCATTTAGTTCATTAGCTGTTGTTAATGCATTACAAAAAATGGCACATAAAGGAACAACAATTATATGTACAATTCATCAACCAAGACCATTAATATTTCAAAAATTTGATAAGATTATTATGTTAAATCGTGGTCATATGATGTATTTTGGTCCACCAAGTGGATGTAAATCATTTTTAAAAGAAGCTGGGTTTGAAACAGAAGATAATGTTGCTGATGCATTAATGGATGCTGGTGCATATGAATATGGGAATGACCAAGGAAGAGAATTATTAGCAGAGAATTTTGGAGGAGAGAAAAAAAGTGTTCAACAAGTATTTGAGAAAAGAAAAACAATAATAGTTAATGAAATTGAAGAAATAAATTCTGCTGATTTAGAAAAAATGAAGAAAAAAGTAGGAAGACCAGTAGGATTTTATGAATTGATTAAAAGACTAATAATCTCAGATTATCGTGATCCATCACAAATTTTTGGTCAAATCTTTGCAAAAATATTTTTTTCATTATTAATTGGATCTGTCTTCTTTAATATTCAAAATGACCAACAAGGAATGAGAGATAAAGGAGGTGTTCTCTTTTTTATTGTTACTTCTCAAGCAATGTCATTAATGGATTATTTAATTCAATTTATAGAAGAACGAACATTAATGAGAAGAGAATCAGGAAAAGGATTATATAGTATTACATCTTATTATTGTGCATATATTCTTCATTCTATTCCATTTTTAATCTTTTATCCAACATTATATTTAGCTATTGCTTATCCAATGCTTAATCTTCGTTCTGGTTTTGTTAACTTTTTATGTATGTGGGGAGCATTGGTATTGACAACCTTCACTTCACAAGGAATGTATTATGCAATTGCAGCAATATCACCAAATGTTACAGTCGCACAAATCATATCCCCTATTTTTATTGTAATTTTGATGATTTTTACAGGATTCTTTATACAAAAAGATAATATTATTGGATTTTGGTTATGGGCGTATTATCTTTCTTATTTAAGATATGCATTTGAATTAGTAATGTTAAATCAATTTGATAACATCCCTCTTTTTTGTCAACCTGATGAATTAGTTGGTGGTCAATGTCCATATACAAGTGGTAGACAATACTTAGACTCTTTACAAATTACTTCTTCAATTCTTGTTGATTATTTTGTACTTGCTGGGTTTTGTATTGCTTTTAATGTCTTTGTTCTTATTGCACTTCATTTGTTTAATAAAGAAAAGAGGTAATATATAACTAAATATTATACTATAATTTATTATAAAATAAATTATTATGTTAAACCACGTCATTCCATTCACTTTTCTTTCTTTTTCCATAAAAATTGCAACAAAAAACTAGAAAAACCTAAAATGAACCAACCAGTGGAAGATGTTCTAAAAGCAATTTCTGTATTATATTCACCACAACAAATACCTGAAGAAACAACAAAAGCAGATCAGTATTTACAAGAATTTATGAAAACTAAAGAAGCATGGCAAGTTATTCCATTGTTATTAACAAGTGAACCAACTGTTGCATTTTATCAACAACGAATTTATTATGGAGCAATTATATTAAAGAAGAAAGTGTGTTATAATTTCAAAGAAATAGAGAATTTTGATGAACTATTTAAATTTATATTAAAGTGTTTATCTGTATATAAAAATCAAAAAATGATTACATCTCATCTTGCACAATCATTAGCAGCGTTATGCGTCCAGTCAAATTCATGGAATGATTATTTCCCTTTAATTATACAAAATTTACCTATCACTGATACTTCAAATATTCCTGTTTTATTATTAATGTTTTCTTCAATAGCTGAGGCAAATAAGAAATTACCATTCGCAAAGAAAGAATATCTTTATTCATTACATGATAATTTAATTCATACATCACCAACAATACTTGATTTTATTCAACGTTCATTTGTTTTATTTCCAGGAAATGCTTTAGACTGTTTTAATAGTTGGATTCAAAACCTTGATATTTCTATTTCATTATTAAATCAATGTCAAATCATTCAAATGATTTTTGAAGGAATTAAACAAAAAAATTTAAGAGAACGTTCATCAGATTCATTTTATTATTTTATGAAGAAAATTCGTTCAATTAATGAGAAAACAACTGATGAAGAAGTTGGAATATGTATTAATATAGTTCAATATGTTCTTAAACAATTAATAACAAATATATCTTCCATTGTTCAAACAACTCAAGGAGATATTGAAGATTTTGAATGGGTAAGTGATTTTTATTGTTCTTTAGGATTTGTATTAACAACATATATTGATAAAATTGATTCTAATCAATTTATTATGTATTATAGACTATTAGATCAATTCACTTGTATTAGGTCTATTCGAAATATAACAAGAATCACTGATGTTGTTGTTGATTTAACTGACTTTCTTAATGAAACAGCACATGAAAATATGAGAGAGAAAATATGCTTTGCATTAACAGAAACATTTGTTTCAATGTTTGAACATGTTTTAAGAGTACAAACACCTTTAATAGATAATGGAGATCAAGAAGAACTTCTTGATTTTATTGATTTTAGAAAAGATGTTATTAGTGAGTTTGTAAGAAGGTCATGTGATATTGTTCCATGTCCATTATTATTAGATACAATCTCATCTATTTGTGTTTCAACAATACCAAATCAATTAGATATTGCAGAAGCATCATTGTTTTGTTTTAGGTCTTTAGCAAGAGTATTAAGTGAATATAAATCAGAAATGGTATTATCTATTCTTCAATCTATTGTTAAAATTGAATCAACTAATCTTCATTTTCTTCATACTTCAGTATTTTGTGTTGGTAGATATTGTGATTGGATACATAATTATGCACCTACGTTTGCACCTACTGCTCTTCAGTATATTCTTAAATATATTAATATTCCTGAACTTATTGAACCAGTAGCAATTTCATTTGAAAATATGTGTGATGGTTGTGCTGTTGATTTCATTCCATTAATTGATGTAATCTCACAAACATTCTCATCTGTTTATCAACAAATGCCACAATCATGGAAAGTTGGTGGAGTTAATGGGTCATTTAGTAGTTTAATAAATGGTTATTGTTTAGTTTTAGAAAAACAACCATTTGAAATTAAACTAAAATATATAGAAACATTTATCCCACCACTCGTTAAATCATTATCTCAACCAATATCACCTGAATTAATGACAGCGCTTATTAGAATATTAACTTCATGGTTTGACTCTGGTGTTAAATTAAATTTACAAAATATCACTATCTCATTTTTACAAAAGTATGATGTTATTCCTACTCTCTTTAGACTAATGGAATTTGCTATTCAAAATAAAAATGAGTCATTAATAGAAGATATCGCTTCTTGTATTAGATATTTGTTCTTCTTTATTGGTTCATCTATTGTAGATTTCACTCAAACAATTTCTACTCAAATGGTTCAATGGTGGCAAAATACTCATTTAGCCTCTATTGTTAAAATGTATTCTTTCCTTATACGAGCTCTTAAACGTGAAGATGACCGCTCTCATAACCCCTTATGTAAAAATTATTGTTTTACTTTTATTCCACCAGTTCTTGACACGATATTCCAATTTGTTCTTGTTCAACCAAAAAGTAGTTATACTGATGTTATTACAGAATGTTTTATTATTATTTCTCAATTACTTGACAAATATCCATTAGAATTCTCTGACTCAATCCTTCAACAACGATTTATTCCATGGTCATTAAATGTGTTAGATACAATGAGCGGTGAAACTTTTGGAACAGTAGTTGATTCAATGATTCTTTTCTTCCACTCCAACAGAAGTTCATATTCAAATACTTATCTTCAAAATGAAGGAGAAACTTTAATAAGAAGTTTATTATCAAATGCCCGTAAATTTACAACTAAAACAAAAAGGGAAAAAGTTATTGATTTAATGAGTTTATTATACGAACAAAATCCAGAACTTATTTCTCATAAAACGTCATTAGTAATTCAAAACGAATATAATTTCCTTCCAATTGAAATCATCAATTCATTTGCAAGTATAAAAATGAAAAAGACTGATTATCAATACCTATTAGATGATTTCTTTTATATTTGCAGAGAAACTGCTTAACAAGTAATTTAGACTCTTTCTTTTATTTTTTTAAATTAAATCCATTCTTCTTTCTTCTTTTAAACCATGAAAAATAATAAAAGTAATTATTTTATTAATGTTCAATCATCTTAACGTTTTTTGATTGTATAATTAACTCTATTTCTTTGTTTAATTTCCAACAACTATCCAACGCAATAGAAAGACAACTAGAAATATCTTGTGGATCTAATACTCCACTCATATAAATTTGAGTGATAGAAGAGTTAGATGGAATACATGCAATTAGAACTGATCCTTCTTTTTTCTCTTCTTCAAGTGCCGTTGGATCAACAATAACTTGGTTATATATTGGCAATTTAACAACTGTTGTTGCAATGATAATGCTATCCATTTGAATTTCTGAATCAAATAATGCCAATGAACTAGAATTGATTATGCTATCTTCAACACTTCCATCTTGCTCCATAACAAATACTTGTAAACAAATAATTTTTCCTTTATTGCTTTCTTGATTAATACGAGAAACTAATGACTGTGTTAAGATTTCTTGAAGCTCAACTTCTTTTCTTTTGTTGAGTAAGTCATTGTTCCCAAACTGAGCAAATGTCACTTTTACTGTAAATTCAAAATCTATTGATTCATCTTGTGTTTTGATTTGTACAGATGATATGACTTTACTGTTTTCTTTTTGTATTAAACAGCTTCCTTTTGCTCCACTGATCACTCCAATTTTGATTGTTGTTGCACGAATTTCATTTGCTTCTCTTCCATCCCCTCTTTTGATAACTTCTTCCATTTTCCGTTGTTTATTATTTTTTTGTTATTTTTTAAATTTTTCTTTTTTTTTTATTTTATTACATTGATATATATAACGAAGTTTTATTTTTATGATAATTTCTGTTTTAAACAAAGAGTGAATAAAAACACAGATAATGTACTTCTTGTTTTCTTGATACAATGAATATTAATCAAATATTATTATTTATTCTATAAACTTCTTACTTTTATAATGTTAAAATAATAAACAAATAGTTGTTTTTACATAAATGTACAGAGTCACATTAAAATATGATGGATTTTTTTCAATATATCCATTATTGTATTAGTTATTATAATGTAATTTATTAAAAGTAAAAAACATTTGATTTCATTCATAAATATTGTGTATAATGAGCATATAATTATTTTTAAAATATTTTAACACTATTTCATAAGTTAAACTGAATGAGTAAATATTCATTTAACTAGTCTTTTCATTCTCTTAAAGACTTTTTATTTTTTTTTTTGGTTAACCTCTTTAGAGAGATTCTTGGAATTACATTTTATTTAAAAATTGAATGATTTATTGTGTTTTCTTTTGTTATGATAATAAAATATAATACAAGTGTTACATTTCTATGTACCTTCTATTCTTTAATGTAAAATACTGAAAGTTATTTATTTTTTTTTAATAAATAGTGAGTAATAATGAAGAAGATCATAAACAGCACATTGATACATACAACAACAAATTATTAATATTTAAAAAAGGTTAAAAGAAATAACTTCATATAAAAATAAAATATTTTTATTGATACTATTCTTCTGAAATTTATATGATTAAAATAATTATTAATATGTTTATTCTTATTACACTAAACTCTCAAACATTTTATGTTGTTATAAAATCAGAAATTAATTTATAATTACTTCTTTATGGTATTTCTATTATTAATATTTATAATTAATATGTATATTGTACTTTTATAGTATGTTAGTTGATCCTCACCTCTATAACTTCAATGTATGTTTTTATTAAATATAACTTCATTTTAAATATCTTGTTTTTGGTATTATAATGAAGAAGTAAGTAACATTACTCTTACTAACTTCTAACTTTTAAACGTATATTCATTACTTTGTTTATTTATCAATAAAAGTGTTGTTATGAAAGAATTAATTGAAGTAATAAAATGGATTGTTAAAAAAGAGTGATGTTATACTATATTTCAACCCAGAAAGAAAAGTTTTTAATCAACCCATTGAATTTGTATTTTATGTGTTTATTAATATAATCATTTTCTATTGATATTTATTGATGAACAAAACATTGTTGTGATTATGTAGCACTTTCTGGTTTATTCTGGCAAGAATTAATAAGTGGTAGTACCTGAAAATTTATTATATGAAATATACTAAAATGAGTATTAGATTTATTATTTACATCCCTAAAATATCGTAATACAATGAAAAGATATTTGAAAATTCTATTTCAACATAACCATTATTCTTATTCTTTACTTATTTGAATTAATTTCATTTTGTTTAAGTGAAAGCAACTTAAATACTTACAAAATAAATATTGTTTAACAATACTGTTAATTCAAAAGAATCGACATACAGTTCATTCAGTTGTACTACCAACTTTACATAATTTACTAAATGTTTATTCATTGGTTTATCAATAGAACTATGACATATTCACATCCTATTTCTTTATTTTCCAATAATTCAAAAACTACTTTATTCAATATAAGAGAGATAAATTCATTGCAATAGCTTTTCAATAACACATTGACTTAATTCAGTATACAAAATCTTATTTATCTTTTAGATATATTTTAATAGTACATTTCTTTGAGTAATTAGTCTTGAATGATAACAATAAATGACTTTTCAAAAAGTACGTTCTTTTTCGACTTATGAATTACTCTTATCTGTAATACTCATAATCTCTATCTTATATAACTATAAATTATTTAACTTTATGCTTTGTTAGTATTTTTGATATACATAAAGAAGATTGATGTATGCGTGTAGTTAAATTATTAACATTACTTTATAACATCACATGAATATTTCAAAATATCTGTTGAGAGTCAATACCTAATGAATAAAATAATGAAATTTAGAAATTTATTTAAGTATTTCTGACTTAACAAAAATTATGTGAACATTCTTCTCCAAAGTGCTTAGTCCAAATGACAATTACAATGTGAGTATTTGTAATTTATTAGAATGTGATGATTACAGAAGAAAGTTTTAGAAAGGATTAAGAGTTAATCCTAGTTGATAATAATTAAAACCAGTCAAGAAAAACGGTATTTATCAATTAAATCTTTTTACTTTCTCTGTTGAAAATGATAGTTCATAGAAATATTTGTAATACTCTGACCCAAATAATTCGGTTGTAAGTAAGGCATTTATTTGTTCATCGTTTATGTTAATTTCATTAAATTTATACTCAGTGATTTCCTCTTTTCTCTTCGGTAATTTTTTATTCCTTTGATTACTTACCTCAACAGGCAAGACTTCTTTTGACTCAAATACAGTGATTGTTTTTAGAGGTTCGTTTAATGACCATTTGGGTTTCTTTTCTTCCATTTCTTAACAACTGAACCATTATGAGATTTAGAAACCCATCTCTTTACCTCTCAACACAATGACATTAAACACTGTTTAACATTGTTTTATTAATTGAAGAAAAAACAGATTGTATTGAATTAGAGGGAATTATTTGAGTATTAAAGAATTGGATAGGTGCTTGCTTATTAACGAAAAGCAAAGTGGTGAGGAGTGAAAGTAGTCAGGTAAACTTAGTATTTGTTTTAAGACAAAGAGATTTTCTATCTAAACAAGCAAAAAGTGAGCAACATAACTACCTCAAAATCCCGAAAGAAGACACAAAAAAAGAGAAAAACCAAGGAAGAACAGAAATGGAAAAGTTGAAAAAACTATGAAAAGAAGAAAAGAAGTAAGAAAGCAGAGAAAAGTAAATGGAAAGAAGATAAAAATGAAAAGAAGTGGAACCAAATCATCAAGATTTGGCAGAATAATTAAAAGATCAAAAGATAACTTTAAAAGTTATTCACAATTATTAACATGTTTAATCAAGAAAAAGGTACCGATTATCCTATTCTTAATATTCAAGAACTTGAGGCACTTGCTGATTTAAAATTATCTGCTATGGGAAAAGAATACCCAAAACATGACAAATCTGATGCTATTGATGTTGTTGCACCATTAGTTGATATTATTGCTGAAGGAGATCAAGAAAGTACAGCTCCAATTGATGCTAGACTTCAAACATTCCTTAATTCATATTTTGCAGAATGTGGAGAAGAAGTACCAAAAATTCCAGACAATACTTTTATTCTTGATAGAGAAGGACTTGGAAGAGTATTATCATTCCCACCACATAAACAAGAATTTTTCTGTGAAACTATGAAATCATATAAAATTAAACAAGGAGTACTTCATAATCCAGCTAAAGATAAAAGAACTACTGTTGGTGTTTTCCATATTTGTCAAAGTGATGTTCCAGTTCCAGCTGATAAAATTGAATGTCCAAAAATAGCATTCTTAAGAATGCTTAAAGCAGCATTTTATGGAGCACCAGATGATCATCTTATTATTCCATATACAGCTGAATGTAAAGAACCAACTAGATCATGGGTTTCACTTTATATGAGACCAGTTGTTGTTCCAGGAGTTAAAGGAGTTAAAGGATTTGAACATGAAAAAGCTACTGAAATGCATTTCTTTGTACCAGGAAATATGGTGTCATGTCTTGATTTTGTAGAGTCAGTTTTTGGAAATGCTGGTAATCCAAGATTATCTAAAAATGATGCTGCTCTTGATCCACTTGGATGGACTGGACATAGTGGAATGGCTATTCTTGCACCACATCTTACTCGTATGACAAAGAAAGAATGTGGACTTCCACATATTAGTCAAGCTACTGAAAGACAAAAACGAGAAAGAATGTGTTGGGAAAAAGAAGATGAATTATATAATGATGGTAAAACATTCAAAATGTATTGTAGAGATGCATCAGGAGTTATTTGTACTATTATTGCAGATAATTACTTTGGATATTGTAAGAAAGAAGTTAAAACACAAATTTCATATTCAGCTAATTTATATGGATTTGCAGAAGAAGAACATGCAGGAGGAGCTGTTACTAGACCATCATATGATCTTGGAGAAGCATGTAAAGCTGTTCAATATGCAGAAGGATATAAATTTAGTGAAATGGTTGAAAAGAATAAACATTCCATTATTGTTAAAGAAGAAGGATATGCTGTAGATAAAAAATATCCAGAAGGAATTATTTATGTTCCAGAAGATTCAGTATTTACAATTGAAGATGCATCAATTAAATTCAATCATAATGGAAAAGAAGAAAGTATTCTTTTAACACCAAAAGTAAATTATGTTTTACCAAATGGATATACTATTATTTTACATGATACAATGACATCCAGAAGATGGACATTAAGAGGAATTCTTCCACAATATACTCTTTGTCATAAACCATGCACTGTTTCAGGAGGAGGAAAATCAGAAATTTCAAAGAATATTTCAGATGCTATATTTGAAGGAAAAATGTTTGTTAATAACAAAGAAGAAGAATTTAAAGCAGTTCAAAAAGTATTTGATCATGACTTTTCAAGAAGATATGCGGATGGAGAAATTAAAAGTGCACATATTCTTGATCCAAATGTTACTCTTGGAACAGTTGTTAAAATGTTAACACCATCATCATTCTTTACTGAGGAACATAATGAATTTGTTGCAGCCATTCCACCAATGATTGTAGAATTAGCTTTAACTATTAAATCTCTTTATAGAGAAGAATGGAAAGGAGATTGGCAATCAAGAATTACTGTAGATAAAATTAATGGTAAAGAAGGACATGAATTAAAATATAGAAAGATGCCACTTCCATCACAATATCTTAGAGTTGGATTTGAAAGAGATGAAACTACATGGAGAGTTTTCCAATTAAGAAAAGATTTCTTCCCAGCAGCTAAATTACAAATGGAAGATGATATTACAGCATCAGTTATTGTTCCAACTAAATTACTTAAAACACCAATTAATACTAATGGTAAAAAAGCATGTAAAATTGTTAAGAATTGTGAATTAAGATTATTCCAAAGACCAGATGATGCAGTTTTCAGAGGATATGATAAACAAACTGAATATGATTTCTCTATTCCAGGACATTTCATTTCTAATTATCAACCAATGACTAGAGAAGAAGCTAAAGACTTCACTAAAGATGTTGTAAGATTGTATCAATACACTGAACCAATGAGAAAATGTTTACAAGACTTTGTTGCAGGTAAAGATGAGGCTAAATATATTGTTTCATCATCTCATACTAGATTAGTTCAAGATGGAGATAAACTTGTTGGATCAAAGAATCCAAGATATTTACAAAGAAGACCAGATATGTTGGATCCAGAATATACATACATGACATTTAAAGCTATTCAATTATTTAGAAAGATTAGTGATGAAGAACCATTATATACTCCAGTTGATGCTGTTCTTTCAGGAAGAAGAAACAACCCACCACAAGTAGCCAAAAATGGTATGAAATTAAGACCATTATCAGTTTTTGCACCATTACACTATTTTGAATTACCAGAATTATTAATGGAATGTATTACTTCTATGACAGGAGCATCTCCATCAATGTTTGGAGCAGGATCAGAAGGAGCATTAACTAAAGGACCATTCAATTCACTTCCAGCTGTAGTTGATTTAAATAATTATCTTCTTGGAATGATTTGTTGTGGATATTCAGGATTTGTTTCATCAGCATCATATTGTGGACCACATTATAAAGTTGCACATGATATTTCATTATTAATTCCAGAAATTTGGTCAAGAATGAGAAGATATGAACAAGAACCAAAATATTTGATTGAACATGGATATCTTGAACCATGTCCTGATGTTACTTATAATGGAAAAACATATTCAGGAAAAAGACTTGGATATAGAATTACTAAAGACTTTACAGTACATTACTTCTCATCTATTTTCTCAGTACCAAATTCTGTTATGCCAGAAGATTTCCTTAAACCCGAATTACAAGATTTAGCTATTTATGCAGATTCATATGAATATATTGAACAAACTGATAAAGGAATTGCTATGAATTATGTTAAAGATGGAACTGTTGAAGGAGCATGTCCACCATTAAAAGCACTTATTTACATTATGGCAAATGGTGAATATAATGGAATGACACGAGAATCTAAAGAATTTAGAGAAATGTTTGATGCTAAAACTATTCTTAATAGTGAATGGTATAAAGAAAGATTAGTTACAAGACAAAAACTTGAAGTTGCTAAATTAAATAAAGACTTAGCTTATTTGAATAAGACAATTGCTGAAAAACCAAGATTAGCTGAAACACTTAATAAACAAATTGCTGCTGTTAAAGAAGAACTTCAATATGTCTCAAGTGAAGAATATCTTATTGATATTGACGGATCTATTGGAACTGATCCATATCCATACAAATGCATGAAACATTAAACTAATTAAGTTTTTTTGTTTGATTCATTCAAATAATTTAAAAATTACTCTCTATTACACATAACTTCTTATTAAAGAAATTTTTATTTAAAAGAAATGATAATAATATAAAATATAACTTTTTAGATTTCTTATAAACTTAAAATAGTAATAAATTAATATGAAACGAACCAAATCTAATCCATTAGTTATTCAATTAAATAATTTTAATCAACATTTTGAAAGATTATTAGCATTAGGAATTGTTGCATCATCTCCAGCATATCCACAATTAGTAATGGTTTGTTTTAAAGTTATAATAATAAATAATAAAATAATAATTATTATAGGCTAATGTTGATAAAGTTAAAGAATTACTTGAAAAGTTTCAAATAGGAATTATTAATATTAATGATAGAAAAACATTTGATACATTATTTGAGTTTTGGGCACATTTATTATATATTTGCAAATATGGACATATGAGTAGTTCAATGGTTTCAATATTTAATATTCTTTATCAATGTATCTCATTGTTTGTTTTTCAATGATTCTTTTGTTCAAATAAATAGAAATTATCTTATTTCTAGAACATCATTTTCAGATATGGCAAACCAATTATTAAAAAAAGAAACAACTCAAAATCTTCTTAATATTTATCAAAGTTATGTTGTTAGTTGTAGAGAAACATATTTATTGATAAGTCAACTCTTAGAAAAGACAATCAAAAGTATTGTTGGACAAGAAGCATTAGACAAACTAACATTACAAAGTTCAGATGATATTTATTTCCAATTATCAACAAAAATTAAATTAAGAATGCCAGAAGGAATTGATATTGTTATAAGTAAAATTATTGGTGCATTAAGTGTTGTTGATAAAGAAATATTAAATATCATCAATACAATTACACAAAGTGAAATTAATAGAAGTACAACTATTGCACATTATAATTGTCATTTTTTATTGGATTTTATTCCAACTACAAGTGTTTTAAGACAAGGAGAATTACAATCAATGATTCCAATTATTCTTATATATCCAAATCCATTCATGTTTATTGTTTGGTTTATTCCACAATGGATTAAATCATTAAAAATGATTGGAGTAGTTAAAGAAAAAGTTATTAGAAGTAGTGAATTTTTTATGTATAAAAAATGGTTTTTTGAAACACTTGGTAAGATGATGAGGAAGGTTCAGAGAATAAAAGAAAATACAGCATTTTCTACTTGTTTTAAATCTATTATTAAAGAAAATGATATTACTGATGTTAATGAATTATTATTCATTATTAAAACAAATACTAATATTTATGATACTAAACAAATGACAAGAATGGGTAAAATGATAGAGAGTGTATTAAGATATTATATTAAAATTAATAATGGATTAATAAGTTTATTTGATGATACATTTAATGTACATGACTTTATTCAAATAATAGATATGTCAATATTAGCAGATCATTTAGAATCATTATTAAAATTATTAGGATTAATTTATGATATATTACCTTATTTTATTAAGACATCTCGAGATGTTTTATTATTGGATTATCTTATTAATAAAAGATTCTCATATTTTTTCTTTCATTGGTCAGATCTTATTCGTACTGCTTTCTTTCATATTATTTTATATCGTTCATTATTCATAAAATCAACCCATTTATTATCTTCAAAATTAACACCATATGAAATAGATCAATATAATAAAAGAAAAACTGAATTGTATGATCCTAAAGAACAAGATATGAATGTTTATATATCATTAAAAGAAAGAATAGATATGCTTACTAGTATTATTAATTCTCTTCCATATGAAAAACATTTAAATGAATTAAAGATGATAAAAGCAATGAATGAATTTACTCAAGAAAGAAAAGAATATTTAAATTGGTTAAACAAAAAGAATAATAATAATTTTGATGTTCCAAAAATTATATCAACAATAGATATATCAAGTGAATAAAATAATAAAATAAAATATTTTTGTGTCTATTGAATTTTTTCTGATTTTAAGAAAAGAAGTGTAATTTCTGAAAATAAAGATAATTTTTGTTTTTAAAAAACGGAAAAGAAATTTTATACAATCTTGTAATTTAATTTCTATTTGTTTTATTTGTTTCTTTGAATGGAAAATGGTATTAAAAAAATTACATTTGAATCTCTTCAAAATCAATGTGAGAAAGTTAAATATCAGTTTGTGTTTATTTTATTATTATTATTACTATTATTAATATTATTATTACATTATTTAAATTATAATTAATAAAATTCTTACAAACACAGTATAATGGGTTTTGAATTTCAACAAGCAAATAAAGTTTTAACTAATTTGTTATTGTTAGCAGATAGTCAAACTAATTTACCCATATCATCTAATGTAAATTCTATTATTTCATATTTTATTCAATCATTATCTAAAAAATCTCAAGTTGATTCATTAAAAGATAAAAAGGCACGGTTATTATGGTTTAGGAATTATTTTATTGGAGTGTTAATATCTATTATAACTAATGTAGATTTAACTAAATGTAAAATGGCTGTAATTTGTTTAAAAGAATTATTATTATTACTAAGATATACTCCACGTTATGAACAAGATGAAGGAATAATTACTCTTTGGTCAACAATTAATAATTTATATCAAAAAACACCTAAAAATTGTGAAAATTTACTTCAAGTTTTTAGTGGGTCATTAAAAAAATTATATAAACTTACTGGAAGTATTGATGGAATGAATAATTTAATGGTTAATGTTTCATTTGATGCAATGAGTATGTGTAGAAATTCTATTGAAAGAAGTGCTAAAGTTCAATATTTTATGACAATTTCACGATATGGAAATATGAGATATACTAATACACTTTCTATATTATTACCTATTGTAACTCCTCTTTCTTTAATTAATGAAGATTTATTAAATACAATGTCTCATGAATATTGTGATGGATTATTATTTATTGCTCATCATAATGAAGAATTATCTAAAAGTATTCATTCAATGCAAATTTATGAAAGACTTGATGTTGATGGTGTTTTACAATTTATGAAAGAATTGGTAAAAGAAGACACAGATAAATATTCATTATCTACATTTAATTTTTATTTATTATTCCATACAGCAAGTTGGATTGGATTAAATTGTAATAATATTATTACCATTACAAATTCAATAGATTTATTGATTGAATATTTCTTTGTTATATTGAAGAAAAATAAAAAAAATTATGATTGGATGATACTGATTCTTATTAATAAAATAATATCTGTGTTTATTACTACAAATTCAGTTCCTTTAAATAATGCTTGTTTAAAAATAATGACTATGATAGTTGAAAATCGTGTTGATTTACTTATAAGTATAGAACAATTATTATTTAAACAATTTAATGATAAAGTAAATAAAGAAATAAAATCTAGTAAAGATAAACGAGAATATATCATTTATTATTCTTCTATCCTAAGTTCAGGTAAAACACAAAAAGAAAAAATGTGGTTATATGAAATAACTCATGAATTTGGTATTAATTTATCTTCATTTCCTTCTTATTTTAAAGTTGAAGGTTCAAGACAAATTCAAGGTGTTTTAATTGCATTATCTAAGATTATTATATCTTTAATCCAATTAGGTCCATCTAAAAACATTTATCTTATCCCTTTTTTAAAATCATTTCTTAATTTTGAACCAACTCAACCTCCAATTGTAAAACAAACATTTATTCATTGTTTATCTTCTATTCCTTTAAAATTATTGTATAGACTTATTCCTTTAATTCAACCAAACACTTCTTTATCTTATCCTACAACTATTCTTAGATTATTTAATTGCTTTTTATCAGATACTAATCCACTTATTCGTGAATTTACAGCAAAACATTCCCCACAAATTCTCTCTCCAACAATACAATATCTTTATTCATTATCTCCACCATCTGCATTGGCTAAATATTCAAGTACAACATTAACAACAACTGGTATTCAAAGGGTTTCTCAATTAATTGCTATTTCTTATATTATCAAACAAAATTCATTTCCAACACTAAATAGACATTTTTTAAATTCTACTTCTATTCCAAGACTTCCAAATCCACTTTCTAAATATGAAACTCCTTTACTTGCAAATATTCTTTCTTTTGTTCCTTATATCTTATATCAATCATTTGATCGTTTACAACCATCAATTCAAATCTCTGGATTACATGCATTTGTTCGTTCAATTAGATATTTATGTAGAACCCCTTCAACAACAGTCACATCAAATTTGTTAAATCAAACATTTAATTATTTACTTGAAATTATCAGAGCTATATTAACTGTTCATCGTCCTGAATGTGCAATTCCTTTTAAATATTCTCTTCCAATTGAATCACTAGCAAAAGAAATGACTCTAATTAATGCTCGAAGTGATGGAATAGACAATCCTGTTATTTCACTTTCTTCTGCATCATTTTCAGCACTTGCTGTATTACTTAGAAGAGTAAAACCAACTAAAGAAGTTTTTTCTTTACTTAAATTATTTATTGATGAACATACTCTTCCTATTCATCTTGCTATTAGAGAGATTCTACGTTATGGATTAACTCCATATCAACAAACAGAACATCCTTTATATGATTCATTATGTCTTGAAGCTGATGCTGTTAGAGATTTTGAAGTCTCAAAACTTAGTCAAGAAACATGGTCTGAAACAGCAACAATGGTAGCATCTGTAATGAGACTTGTTGATAATGATGCTTTAAAACATACTGAAACAGCTGTAGTGACACGTTGTGCACTTTCATTAATTGTTGCTGGAATAAAATATGGAAAACCAAACAAACCATCTAAGGGGGTTTTTGGAATTGATAATGAAGAAGATTATATTCCAAACAATTTTAATGAAGTTTATCAACAACTTCTTAAAGGAATTGAAGATGATACTCTTAAACATTCTAAAATAACATCCAAACCTTATTTTATTCCACATTTTGGGTTATTACCAACATTAAATTTATTATCAATAGAGTCATTAAAAACAAATAATGAAATATCTCAAATGACTGCATTTTTAGAAGAAATTCATTTCATCTTAAAAAGAGGTGTTAGAATAAATGATCATTTCTTGACATTATTACAATTAATTAATATTGCTAAAGAATTGTTTACTACTTTAATCAAATACACTCCATCATATATTGACGATTATTTGGATATGCATAATATTGAAATGTGTGCAATGAAACTCAGTAAACAAGGTTTGACTGGTCAAAAAATTATTGATTCAATCATTTTTGAAGTTGCAGACAATCCACTTAGTGATAAAGTCATTCATTGGTTAACTAAAATACGAGATTTGAATCATTGTTATTCAATTTGTTTGGATGTACTTTCAGACAGTGTTAAAGGGGATGGTGTGCTTCAAGAATTAAGAGGTCAGGTGGTTGTTCCATTATATTTTGCATCTGTTCTTCAAGGACTAATTGATGTTGATACTACTATCACAAGGGAGTATGTTCATCGTGTAATTGATTTGACAGTGTCTGATGCATTGATGGTTTCTCGATGCTCAGCACCATTAGTGATTGTTCATGAAGCAGAACGGTTATTAAGAGAAACTCGACCAGATATTGCACGAGCATTACGTGGAGAAACACCTACAAATACACCAGCATTGAAAGAATTTAAAGGGATAGAAGTAACATTACAACTCCTTTCTTCAAAACAAGAATTATCAGAATTGTTCTATCAATCATTATTTGATATTTTTCAACCAATGCCAATATCATTAATTGAAGCCATAACTTATAGTTGTTTAAAATGTGAAAATAGAAGATGTTTAGAAAATATTCTTGGAAAAGAATTACCTCATGACTATGGTGAACTATTTGATATTCTTTCTGAATTATTACCAAAGAAGACTCCATCCAAAAGTTATATCACTATTCAAACAATTACTGACTTTTGGAAAATACAACATTTCTTTGATAAACGATTACCTGCATTGAGAGATTCAGCACGAAATAAAGATCATAATGGTCAACTAATGTTATACATCACTAAAAAACAACCACATAGTATTGTTGCTTATTTACATCATGAGTTTCTCTTAAAGTTCATTCCAACTATTCCAAAAAATCATATTTTATTTGACACTGACTTTTCTAAAATTCTACAAGATGAATTATGGGGAAATCAAACACCTCCAGTCAATTCAAATAAACAAGCATTACAATCTCTTGTTTCATTACAATCATTATTACCAATTTCTAATTATTTGAAAGATTCATTTATTCAACGACTCTTAGAAGCAGAAGAAACAGAATTAGTTTTGTCATGTCTTCTCCACCCATTCTATTTTATCACTTTTGCATTAGACAATCCAATAACCCTTCATATAAACCATTCAACACATTATGTAGAAACGCACTCATTCCATTTCATGAAAGAAGATGTTTTGAATCAAATTAAACTAAAATTTAATCAAAACCCATTGAAATACATAAGGGTTCTTGTTGCTTGTCTCCCACAATTCAAACCAAATGATCTTTACTCAATTTATCAAATGAGTCTCAATGTTCTTGGTGGACGATCTGATTCAGTTCTTGTACAATACATCCAGGCATCAGTGTCTGCAATGTTGTCAGTCTGTCCTGAATATTCAACACCTCCACCACATTCTATCATGTCAGTTATTGCTTTTGAACATTCGTTAGTTTTTATTTCACAATCATTATTATCTCCAGCAACAAGAGCAACCATTGTTCAAGAGCTTCATGAAGTTCTTCAAGGGGTTGTTGGAGAAGGAAGACTTGTTGATAAAATAGATGGAGTAAGAAAGAATTGGGTTGGAAAGATCACATTGAGGTTATTGTGGGATCTTATCTGTCTTTCTACAAACAACCCAGTGTTTGATCAAATATTGGTTGAAGATGTTTTTCAAGATGATAACAGAAATAATGAAACACAACCTCTTTCAATGATGGATAGAAGAGATTCATTACTTTCACGTTTGTTAGTTCATTTAACTGATTATTAATGTTATTGCCATATCAGTTGTGTCATTAGAATGGTTAATTAATGTCAACACAATGAGAATAAATGAAAGAAAGTATTGAAAAAAGATGGATTTGGTTGTTCTATTCTTTTATTTCTTCAACACAAATCTACAACCATCAAGGGGAGTGGAAAGGGAATAAAATATCTAAAGAATTAGAAAATGGTATGATGTTCCAAGTTTCATAATTCTTAAAAGGATGAATAAAAGAAAGAATATTGAGAAGATAAATTAATAAAACTGAAGGAAGATAAAACGGATAGAACGAATCAATGCAATGAAGATAACTCAGAAACAAATGTTAGAGTTAATGAAGTAACTATGAATTTAACAACAACATATTTCAGTGTATTATAAAATAAGTTAGTTAATAAAAATATCTGGGATGGTTGTTTATTTTCAATATGTCAAAAGAGTAATGCCATGACTATGAGACAAGGGAAGATGAAAGTAAGAGTTAATCAACAAGTTAATTTTGTATGTCATGTTAATGAAGCTGAATAAATATTGAAGAAGAATTAAAATCCTAATTCAATCGTATTTCATTCAAATAGTGTTTTATTTCAATACTCTAATAATGTTAGTCTTCAAAATAACAAGTTATTGAATGTTATTACAGAATAATCAATCTTTGATGCTGTAGTTTCTATAAACACCCAAGTCTAATCACTGTTTAAATAGCTACACCCTCTTCTGATTTTAAATTAAGAATGTGATTTAGAGTAATAAATTAATGATATTTTAAATGTGAGAAAATTATTCAATAAGTATGTATAAAATAATAATGATTTAATGAGAAATTCACAAACATAAGTGTCAAATGAAGAGATAATAGAAGTGGTAAAATAATTAAAGAGAATATTTAAATCAATGATGATATTTGTTTATATCCCTTTCATTCTTTTAATTTATAAATAGTGAACAAATCAGAAACATGATACTTTGAAATAATATTTCAATGGTAATGAATTAAAACAAATACAATGTTATGTTACAAATGTTTATGTAAAAAAAGACAATAATTTTATGAATAATTTCATTGAATATTCTTCTAATTGACCATTGACTTATTTTATTAAATAAATAATGACGATTCATTAAGTAATTTCCAATATTTTATCCAAAAAGTATAAAACTTTAATCAGTACAGCATTAAAACAATGGTAATGATTTGTTTCATCATCTTATTATAAGTTATAAAAAATAAATGAAAATAAAACAAATGAATATCAGAACATTAAAATACAACTCATTCTTAATTACATTCATTTTACTATATTTTCTGTTAATGAAAATTATTTTTTTAAGAGAAATAAGAATCTTATTTGTTCAAATTCTTAATTAAAAATAAATCATGAATATGATGATATATTATTATTATTATCTTATTTGTGTTTTCTAGTGTGTATTTTAGTATTGCTTTATGATTTTGTTCATTAAATATTGATTTTAAATATGAGTTTTATCTCTAATTGCAAGTATAATGTCTATTTTTTTTAGAAAACAACATTCATAAATTCATTCTTTCTATTTTTATTTTTCTTTATACCATACTTTCTTCTTCTTATTATTATTTATGTTATTCTTTTTCATCTATTATTATTTTCCATTTTATTTATTTTGTCGTTTGTTTATTTGAATTTTATTTATTGTTTATTATTGTTTTATCACTACCAGAAATACAAATAATAAAATAATAACTAATAAGAAAAATACTTAACATGAGTTTTGTATAATAATTTGCATATAGTTAGCAATGTTTATGTGTTTGTTACGTGTTCAAATAAAGATAACAAAAATTAATACTTAACACTAAATGAAATATGTTGAATTGTAAATAATATGTGAAAATATAAAGAATAATAATAAATCATTGAAAATAATACATAAAATAATTAATTAAGCTGAAATGCAATAATTAATTAAGTAATGTGTTGAAATGAGAAGGTATTAATAATTTATTCATTAAAAAGTATTTTTTATTATGTTTTATATTATTGCTATTTTATATTGTTGTTGATAATTTATATATTACTTATTTATTGTAATGTTTAATATTAAATCAGATTAACTAATCTTTGTTTATTTTATCTCTCATTCTTATAATGATACTATCTTTATTATTATTATTTGTACTTTAATTCAAAATGAATAAAATGATGATTTGATGATTATAATAAACATTTTATTTATTATTTTGTTATATAACATTTAAAATACAAATTGATATATGATAATAATTCATGAACAGAATAATTTATTTATTTTTCATTCCAATATCATTCATTTATAAGAATGATGAATTGTTACAAAACATCAATATTAAATAAAAATGATTATAACTAGAAAATAATAAATAATTCAACAATGAAATGAATAGATAATTTAACAGATAAAATCAAATAAATAAATGAAAAAAAA